CCGGGGGAGGAGAGAGCGGAAAGGGAAAGAAGGAAGCGGCGCGGGGCCGCGGGGCTCACGGAAGGGGGCGGCGCCTGCGCGGCTCCTCGCGGCGGGCGTCATAGAGCGCGGGACAGCGCGGCCTAGAGAGGAGGCTCCGCGTGGAGTGACCCGAGGAGGTGCGCGAGGAAAGACGGCCTCCCGGCCGTCGCCCAGTGCCTCGCGGGTCGCGTGGGCCTAGTTGTTTACATGGGCCATCGAACAGGGGACGCTGCTCTGGTGATCGGGGCGGCGCCTGCGCGGCTCCTCGCGGCGGGCGTCATAGAGCGCGGGACAGCGCGGCCTAGAGAGGAGGCTCCGCGTGGAGTGACCCGAGGAGGTGCGCGAGGAAAGACGTCCTCCCGGCCGTCGCCCAGTGCCTCGCGGGTCGCGTGGGCCTAGTTGTTTACATGGGCCATCGAACAGGGGACGCTGCTCTGGTGATCAGCAGTGAGAATGTTGGGCATGGGGCCAGCCGGCGGTGTGGTGAAGGAGGCTAGATCTCAGTTGGCGGACTGAGCTGTTCGAGTCCTGAACCTGCCGCTCTTTAAGCCGGGCCTGTGTGTGAGTGCCCAACATGCCGAAAGGAGAATGGGGAAAAGGTTGTAGCGTGGTTGTCCATAACGAGGGTTCCATGGTTCAAGCTCCTGTTGGGGTTCGGAAAATGATACCCCCAAGATGGCTCTGACTTGGTGAGAGGCCTTAGACATTGCCTCAGAATCAAGGTTCCTGCAACTTTGTTTTCTCTCTTCTCAAGCCAAGGAAGGAGCTTTTTCTGGAATCTGCTTATCTGACAAAAGAAACTTCTTTCCAACAGAAATGCAATAGTTGGTACCGAGGTAGGGAATAGGATTCATTAATAGGTAGTCAGGACATAGGAACAAAGCGGGATTAGCTCAGCGTTCAGAGCCAGCGTTCGCGAGAAACCTTGCACCCTGAACACAATTTGCAGTGAGTAACTTCGTTAAGATCTGCAGTACTGAGGTTAGGAGCTTTGTGGTTCAAGGGCACCAAAGAGTGCAGATTCTTAAGGTCAACCACTCAGAAAACTAGGGATAAATTACCTCAATTATCAGTTGGGTTTTTTTGTTTGTTTGTTTGTTTGTTTTTAATATTTTTGCTATGAGGCATGTGCATAGACAGAAGGCAAGAAACCGCACACACACACACAACATTCACAGTGGCATGCCACACCACAATCCCTTTTCCTCCATTGTCCTTTTCCCTGCGGGATCTTAGATAAGTAAGGACAGACTTAGGAAAATTGTCAGATGACCCAGATAGATATATAGAGGTCTTCCAAACGCTGCTCGCTCAGTTACTTGAATCACCTTGGCAGGACATTATGTTGCTGTGTAACCAAAGTGTACCAGCACTGAGAAGCAAGTAGCCATCTAGGCAGGCATTCGAGTCTGGAGATGACATGTACCTCATTCACAGCTACACAGATCTAATGGAGCATCAGAGAGACCAAGAGTGTCAGGAACCTTTCCCCAGGGGGACAAACAGTTCACCCAGTAGGTCCCTATTGGTCAGATGAAGACTCTCTTGGAAGATGGGAAAGAAAGTGGTTTGTGTCCTGAAAGGATTAGAGAAAACCAGAACTAAGCTCCTAAATTATACCAGGTTGGTTATGAGAGATTAAAGGACCAATGAGAACTGTGTAGCCTTCTTGGAAAAGCCATGTGAGACCTTAAGTAAATACCACCTTCAGCCCTGAATCCCCAGAGGATCAACTGATATTGAAGGATACCACATCAGGAGGAAGTTACAGAAGCTGGTCATGGGTCTGGAGGGAATGCCTGAGGGCCTTGTAGAGAGGGCCCGCATCTGTTTATATTACAACAGGGATCAAGCGGAGAGGGGAAAACTGGGAAAGAGGAGTAAATGAAAACCAGGCTTTAGTGGCTGCCCTGCAGCCTGTGCCTGTTGATCTCAAGTGCTTCCAATGTGACTACACCTTAAGGATTGCCCTGTGAAGGGTAGGAGACCCCTGAAGCCATGTCCACTATGTGAAGAGGACCACTGGTGGAGTGAGTGTCTAAGATGCCTCTAAGCACTTTGGCGACCTGCTCATCCTCAAGTCTAATGTGACTGGGGAGCCCTGGGGCACTTCTCTTTGGCTCCTATGGTGAACACCATAGTAATGCCTTTGAAGCCTTGAGTAATTATGGAGGTAAAAGGAAAGAAAATCGATTTTTTCTAGACATGGGAACCAAATACTCAGTTTTGTTCCATGCCCCCAGACCATTGACCTCTCAGTTTATAATATCTGGACAACCTCTAACTAAGATGTTCTCCCAACTTCTTTGTTGCCAACGAGGTGACTTGATATTTTTGCATACTTTTCTCATCATGCCAAAAGGTCTCACTGAAGGAAGGGATCTCCTACCCAAGATGAATATTACTGTTTCTGTGACCCTGAAGCTATTTTGTGCATGTCTGTGATGAAAACGGAGATAAACTGAGAAGTACAGACAAATCAGGGAAGGATAGATTTAGCAATAACAGCAAAAACAGAATTTTCCTCAAAGGCACTACCGTCTTTCCTAGTCAAAGACAAAACCCCCTGAGGGACTAGCAGGTGGCATGGTGGTTAAGGTGCTGGACACTCCCAGTTGGCCAACCATGATTCGAGTCCCGGATCTAGTGGTTTGCTTTCTCACTTTCTCTCTCTCTCCTCTCTCTGGTCAAATGAAAA